ATGTAGGTTTTATTTCTGTATAAAGACAAAAAGCAGCAAAGACAAGCTCAGAGAAGAATTCAGGATACTGAATTCAGGATACTTCCCTTGCACAGCCATGTCCAAACTGGGCTATGCACTAATCAGGAAGCAAGGAGCATCTGCCTTCTTAATTGGATTGTTTTAAAGTTTTATGCTGTCTGTGCAATTTCAAATTATGGCAGTGATCCTGCGACACTGAGGTCAATGAGATTACTGATATGCATAGTTATTCACGAGACAAGCCTTTGCAGAGTGTATTTAGTGGTCTGTGGAATCATGCAGAATAAAACTCCAGTTGAAACTGTATGGGATTTTTCTCTTGTCTTTTACTGGAATTCATATTTTTAAACAATTTTGCTGGCTCTTTAATATTTATGAGGAGCCCTGGTCTTTTATTATACATATTCAATTATTCATCTGACTCAAAAGATAAAGAGAAGCCGAGAGGATTTTTTTTACTCTAAAGGGTGTCTTCAGTTTTCTCTCTTCCAATCTAATATTTTACATTTTAAAAGAAAATATATAAATTGTGACTCAGAAAATCATCAGAGCAGCATTTAAATACTTAAATATGGCTATGTGCTCAGGCTCCCAAAAATAAAGCATAAGCTAGTGCTTACGTAAGAATTGTTCTCCTAAATTGGGGAAACAGAAGGGAGAAACATAATTCATGTTTTTCAATCAGGCAAATACCAAGTTGAATTTATCCTATGAACTTCTCAGTCCAGAAAGGTTTTCTTTTGTTCTTTATCTCACAGCATTTGTAGTCCAGAAGTCTGTTCCATAGCATTAATGTCCGTTCTTCAATTTTGACTACGGAAGAGTGTAAGCAACTTTCTTTTTTTTCTTCCAGTTAGGCCTGTTCTGCTGATGCTGTGTATTGATGTAAAATACGCAGTCAGTATTTTAACACTGTGAAAATACAGTATAATCACAGACCTTCTCAAGCTCCCTTTTCCTCCTTTCCTCTTTTTGTATCCCATCTATTAAACTGAGGATGTTTATCATTAACTACCAGGAGGAGGCATACAAGAAGGTAACGTCGAGCTGATGAGGTTACTCTGGTTTATCGTCTCATCTCTAAATTGCAGGTACCTATGCTGCATTTTGCTTTTGTGCAGAGCCTGGTCACAGCTGGTTTTACCCTTTCCTTTTCCTTGGACTTGGGTGTACTTGAAATTGATATTTAATTTCTTTCTTGAAGCAGGAATTTTCATATTGACTTCTTAAAAAATAATCTTCATGAAGTGCAGTACAAGGGTAAGGCATTGCATAACCACGAAATAACCTCAAATCCAGCCGGTGGTGCAGGCTAGGGGGTGAGGGGAGGAAGATCTGCACAAGTTCCAGCAAATATAAAGATGGAAATACCATGCATATCTGTCAGTTCATCCAAAGGAAGTTTTTTGAAATAAGCTTGAATGTTGCAAAATCCTTTGCACGTTACTATGCTTACTGTACAGGTGAAGGTGATCCAAGGTTGCCTTACGGCAGTTAGTGTTAGGCGGTGCCTGCTCTGACATGACTTCCCAGACGGGAAGCGAGTGTTTCGAAGAAGAAGTGCTCATCCTCAGATTCAGCTGCAGAAGGTTCTTCATCTGAAAACAGCAAGGAGAAAACTCAAGAAGCAAAACTATTGACACCGTGGAAAAAATGGTCTCAAACTAAAATGTTTGTAGAACACGTGCAGCTTAATGTGGTATCATATTTACTGTTCATCCTAAAAAGAACTTGCCTGTTTTTACAAAGTTTTGGTAACTACTTGTAAGCGTCTCAGTTTCACTCCTGGCCTTGTAAAAGCTGAACTTCTGTAGAGAATAATTTGAAAACATTCAGGTGAAAGGCAGATACGTGTGCCTGTGTGAAACCTTCTGATGAGATTCGCCCATTTTTCTTCCCACAGGTTTGGAGGAGACCAGCCGGTGTACATCAATATTATTAGAGATCCTGTCAATCGATTTTTATCCAATTATTTTTTTCGACGTTTCGGAGACTGGAGAGGAGAACAGAATCACATGATCCGTACCCCCAGCATGAGGCAGGAGGAAAGATATCTGGTATGTTTAAATAAAAGGCTCTGATTACCGATTTCCCAGCATCATTACATAATGCTGATGTTCAAACTGGGTGCTTGGAAAGTGGGAGACTGAGGCATCTTCTGTCTTGCATTTTTTCCTCTGTCTTTGTGTTGCCTGGACCTTAGTTTGGTCAGCTTTAGTATGTAGTGTTGCTGATGAATTCAGTGATCCAGTTTGATCTTGTATGAGCTGACAGCCAGTCCCAGATTGCCACCGTTGAATTACGGTTGGATTTGCACTGTATAGTGATTAGGCATAATAATTCTGCCCGTATTTATCACTGTGCATATTTAGACAGATTTTTAGGTTGAAACGATGTCTGTAACTGTGCAGCCTCAGAGGAAAATTGGGAAATGGAGCGATTCAGTGAGCCCAAGCCTCTAATGTTCTTGCTGGTAAGTTGTGCACAGTGTTCTTTATACCAGGGTTCTGATCTCAGTTCTTGCTTTGGTTTTGTTGCCTTTTTTGGATTAAGAAAGTGGCAATAATGCTAGATGAGCTGTTCATAATAAGTTTTAATTTTGCACAACTGACTGACTCTGTAAAAGCCGGTATTAATTCAGTACTGCCAGTGCAGTTTAAGATGTGATGTGTACAGCCAGTGAAATTTTACTTCAATGCCTGTCAGCCTTTGTCACAGACCAAGGTCCCGTGGCAGCAGGCGTTCTACAAATGCTGAATGAGAAACACAGAAGCTAGGGAAGTGGTCAGTTTGTTTCATGCTGTTCTCTTTGCATGCACACCGACACCTCCCTAAAGAAGACAAAAAGGTGGAATTAATTCTTACCCTCTCTATAATGGAGATCCAGTTTGATTGGACTGAGCTGTTAGCTGCACTTGAACCTGCAGAGAGTTCAATGACACAGCGATGACAGGACAGCTTGATGGTCTGCTATGAGATGTTGCAGGCCAGATGTAACATCAAAACAAGAGAGGGCTGTGGCTTCTGGAGAGCAAAGAGAGAGGATGTTTTGACAATGTTATGGAGGGGCGGTAGAGTATGAGATGTGGTGTGGACGAGCTGTAGAGAACACAGCTCTGAATGACTGCCACACAACACATTGCAGTCCTAGCTGAGGTCAGATGGATCCATGGAGGGCTGGGTTTTTTCCCGTGTGACACGGCTGTGTTGATTTCTTTTGTACTTTACTGTTGTTTGTCATGCAAAGCCCTGTGAACAGATAAGCTTATAAATTATTATTATAAATGGTTAAACATTGGACCAGGCTGCCCAGGGAAGTGGTTGAGTCCCCATCCCTGGAAGTATTTAAAAGACGGGTAGATGAGGCGCTTAGGGACATGGTTTAGTGGGCATGGTGGTGTTGGGTTGACGGTTGGACTCGATGATCTTGGAGGTCTCTTCCAACCTTAATGATTCTATGATTCTGTGATTATGAATAATTGAAGGAGAGGGGTATCCATGTAACTAAGTATAGCCTTAAACTTTAATGACATCTGCTATACAGATATAAACTCATTTCAATAATGTTGCAAAGGGTTTCTTATTTGTCTAGAGATACCGAAGAGGTCCCTGTGTCAACTGAGCAGGTTTTGACCTGGTGTGCGGAGTTGGAAGGCAGTCCAACAGCTTTGGTGCTGTGTGCATGGACTTTTGTTTCCTCGTCTGTGAATGGGACAGGGGGGTTGCAGAAATGAATGCAAGTGGGTTTTTTTACTACATTATTATTTTGTTAGCACTGTCATGTTTTCTTTTTTGAAGATGTTAAAAATAAGTGGTACAGTCTGTACTTCACTCTGAGTGCCTCTACTTCTCATTTGAAGTGGAACGTGCAGTGATTGGCACCTCTCACAACTGACTGACTCTGTAAAAGCCGGTATTAATTCAGTACTGCCTGTGCAGTTTAAGATGTGATGTGTACAGCCAGTGAAATTTTACTTCAAGCAGAACTGAAATGAATAGATCTAATTCCTGTTGTTTGTGTTGGTTTAAAAGCTAATAGAAAGAAATCACCTTGCATTTTTGTTTGCGTTGGGATGTTCTTTAAGAAATTAATTATTTATATGCACACGCACATATTTACACATGCACAGATCAGTACACAAACAATAATGAAAAGGAAATAAAAAGTGGCTGTCTAAGGTCAGTAGTCATTTTGTTCAAAAGGCAGTTTGTCCGTCTGAGGCACCATCAGCATCTTTTATAAAAACTGTTTTTGCTTTTTCATTTTGATCTTCTCTGTTGGTAATTCAGTGTTAGAAGCCTGGAAATGTTTTCGAAATCTGTCCTCCATCCCTCCTTGGCAGACTTTGGCTGTCACTTGCACTGCTCAAAGAGGACGGTTGCTCCTGTCACAGTAACGTATAGGCCACCCGCCAGTGAAATTCATTTTAACAAAAGCCACTCATTCCGAATGTTAAGCATTTTTAAGACGTCTGCTATCCAACCACATAATATATTGCATGACTGCATTTTAATCTTTTCCTCAGTGGCGCAAGGAAATCTGCTGGCATATATTTTAAAACTCAGGTAATGGATTTTGTGGAATGGTAGCTTCAGAAGTCTGCTAAATCAATTGCCTGATCTAGCTGCGAAGAAAATAAGCAGACGGTTTTACCTCTGAGCATGAGCTAGTGTGGCCCTTCAGCACCCAACTGATGGCTGGCCTGGTTGCTGGCCTCATACCTTTTGCAACTCTTCCCTAATATTTTTTTTTATTTTTTTTTTTGATTGAAAACTCACCGTAAAGCATTGCTTTTTTACAGGGGACTATTTGAAGCATAAGCTTAGATTTAGCGTGTTAAATAGTTTCTATATTGATCACAGTATTAAACCCAAGTCATTTGGGATGAGGTGTGCCTGACTGTGAGCAGATACGTGAAAGCAGGGGGCAGGATACAAGAAGCTTTTACTTCTCTTCTTCCATCATGCCTCAGATCAACAGCTAGGAAAATACAAAACTGCAGATTGCTCCACAGCGTGGAGCTCATTGCTGAAGAGCCTGAGAAGTTGACAGCAGTTACAGACTTACAAAATGGGCTGGAAAAGCTGTAAATATAACTCCTCTGTTTTATCAGGACAGACAGGTTTGCCTGAGGAAGGATGTACATTTTTTGAAATGGGGGTATGAGGGGCTAATTGTGCTTTTCTCAACCATGATGTTCCTGGCTTCCCATCTTTTGGAATGTGTTGTGGGCAACTGGGAACCTTTCCAGGCCATCTTGGCGTCTTGGTCAATAGCTGCCAACACTGGCCTGCTCCCTTGAAAAGCTGAGGGCAGTGTGCATTTTCTCTCAGAAACTGCAGTGTGAAAGCGTGACACACTTTATAGAGTGTCAGCACCTCTATAAAGCGGGCTCTAAAGGGAGGAAAAGCATTTTAAGATCAGGTTTTATATCAGATGAACTCCTGCTTGGCCATCGGGTTGTGATATCCTTAATGCAGGCATTCCCAGCCCTCAGTTCTGATCCTTAAAAGAAAAACGGAGGTGAAAAAAACCATTGAAGTCTTGTAGTACCTTGGGCGCTGTTTTTTTAACTTTGAAAATCTGAACTGCTGACATTGGAAAGATCAGAAACGGAGACCAAAATTTCCATCGTTCGCTGATCATTTAAAATTTTCTCTGAACAGAGCTTCAGGCTTTGACTCTGTTCCAGAGAAAACAACTGTTCATTCAGGAGTCAGATAAATTGTTTTAAATGTTTCGGTAAATGTTTGTGTTTACCAAAATTTAATTGAAAGCCAGGATAGAAAACAAGCCCTTTATTCACAAGTCAGATAAGGCAGAGGCAGCTGCTGCAATGTGAGACTTTCCGCCCAGATCAGCCAGCTCCTTGCCCCGACCTGGCGCTTTCTCTGCTGGCGTGAGTTACTGTCAGTGACCTACAGAGATCACCGCTAAGCTGCCCAAGCTTCCCCAAAAATAAATAGTGGGAACGCGTTAGTGTGGAATATGGCAGAGAGGTAATGGTCTGAAACAGTGGCGAGCGCCTTAGGTCAAGTCTCAAGCACACTCACACGAGAGTCACCCTACCTTATGGTCCTGTGAGGTGAGATAAATTCACAAAAGTTAATTTAAATCCATTGTAGTGAATGTGTTTCAGGTTGAACTACAGTTCTCGGAGTAAAGATGCTTCAGTAAAGCAAGTAACCCCTTATCAGTGCAGCTGTGAGTGCTGCTGGTACCAAGCGAAAGAAAAATATGCACCAGATGATTTAGTATAAGGCCTGAGAGTGCAGAAGGTAGGAAGCACTCCTGATAAAGAGCGGGACTACCATAAATATTTGAAAGCTTTGTATTAAAAATTGTCCTCTCTAGAAGGTTTGTTAGTAATTACCTAGTATTTATTACAACTGCAGCGTGAGACATCAAATATAAAAGGTATGTATGGGTTTTTCATCTTTCCTTAATACTTGCTAAAACTTTGATCTAAGACAGCTTAAGGCTGAATGAGTGTGTGAAGCAACGTCGGCTGTGTATTGCTACCTGAATTGCAAGAAATCTGGTTATATGCGATTCTGGTCTCTGTTAGGCTCACAAATAGCGTGGCTCCTAACTCACTCAAGTACAAAATCTAAACATCTTTGAGCTAATTTACCAGAAGAGAGAGGTTTTGTATGAAAAAGATTGTTCAGTAAATTAAGAACTTGTCACCTTCCTATAGGACGTTTCAGATTTTCATTATAATTAGCGGTTAAGTTTGCAATGCATCTGTCAGGCTCAGCATAGTCTTTCAACTTCATCTCTGAAAATAAATATGCTTTCTCAGCTAAAAATAAAAATATTCTAACAATATTCAGCCTCAGTTATGCTAAAGATTACTCATGCAAGTAATCCCATAAAGGAGCATCTGTCTTTTTGTCTTTTAAATTAAACGTTAAAATATTTGTAAAAAGTGTGTTAGGATTACTGCGAAGGAGGGAAGTAAAATTCAAAGGACATCAGGGAACTTTCCGCTCAAATTTCTTGCAGTAGGGACCTCTCCTGTGGCAAAGGTTGGCTTTTCTTGCTAAATATTTA